CCACATTGTTTTCCATAGAGGCTGAGCTGGTTTGCAACCCACCAGCAGTGTAGAAGTGTTCCCCTTTCTCTGCATCCTCACCCGCATCTGTTGTTTATTTTATTAATGAAGGCCATTCTTACTGGGGTTAGGTGATATCTCAATGTGGTTTCGATTTGCATTTCTCTGATGATTAGTGAGGCAGAGCACTTTTTCATGTGTCTGTTGGCTTCCTATATATCTTCTTTTGAGAAGTGTCTGTTCATGTCTTTTGCCTACTTTTGAATGGGACTGTTTGTTTTTTTCCTTTTCGCATGGAAATGGTGCTGGGAAAACTGGCCGACCACATGCAGAAGATTGAAATGGGACTCTTACCATACACAGAAATCAATTCTAAATGGATCCAAGACCTAAACGTAAAACTCAAACTATAAGAATCTTAGAAAATGTAGAAGACACCCTTACAGAAATCAGAGTGGGCAGCCAATTCCTGATCAAAATCCCAGATGTTTATGCCATAAGCGGGGCCTAATTAAACTGAAAAGCTTCTGCAAAGCAAAAGAAACCATCTAGATAGCTGGGACACAGCCCGCAGAATGGGAAAAATTACTTGCCAACTGTATAGCTGACAAAGGCCTAACATCCAGAATCTACAAGGAACTAAGCAGCCTTTTGTTTAGGTCTAATATAGTCCCAGTACTAAGGAGATACCCACTTGAGGTTTTGGCTGAATGCTCCATCTATTATGAGATTTATCCACTGTGGTAGGAATACAAACTATTGCCTTCTGTGTGTGACCTCCAACTGTTGTTCTTTCCCTCACTTTTCTTGTTCTGTTCCTGTCCTTAGGTAATTTTCTTTAATGTGTGTATAAGTTAGGGCTCAGTCTAAGTCTTGAGACCATTCTATCTCTGGCACTCTTACTCTCAGATTCTTGGCATTATAAAATCTAACTGCTTTGTAAAGTCTAGCTCTGTCCCCTTAACTCAATGAGAGGTCAGTTTTGCTTGGGTTCCCCATCATGCACTTTGGTCTGGAAACTTTTAAACTTGGCAATTGAAGTGCTTACCTTGTTTCCTTTCTTTCAGTTATTACAATTCTGTGCTGCTGTTCAGTATTTGAAAACCGTTGTTTCATTTATTTTGTTCAATTTTCTAGTTGCTTAGAAACTGGAGGTTAACTTTTGTCCCTATTTTCCCATTATAGTTAGAAATAGAATGTTTTCAGTATATTGTAGCCTTTACCATGCTTTTACTTTGAAGTTGCTACGATGTAGAAGGGATGTAGAAGATAATGAATACTCTGGGAGTTGGGTGGTGGTGAAGATGTTAGCAAGTAAGTTATTGGTAATATGTAGGAAATATGTATGCTTTAATTTTTTTGTTTACTGTATTAATCTTTTATTTTACTTTGTACTTTATAAAATAAATGTCTTCCCTCAACCTGTCATAAAATCTTGGCATAAAATGTATACTCTAGGGATATGCATCATACTTTTTGGTGATTTCCCATGATTTGGACATATCACTTTATACTCTTAGTAAGTTTGATACACCAGGCGTCTCTTATTTCTGTATCCTTATTAGATTATTGTATTCAGCAACTATGTAGAAAACAGTTATTTTACCATATCACAAAGAATTTTGATGTACAGATTTTATGCTGTCTGGTTAATTACAAATTCTTAGTATAGTTATAGAGTTTCCTGCTTTATTTTCTGAAATTAGTCTAATTTGGTCTTTCTTTAGGTCTGTATTCTTTCTGACTAGGTGACAGTCCCAGAACTTTTCATCCTTGGCATTATTATCTTTTTCACTGTGTTGGAACAATAGTTTATAAGATAGCTATAATTGTATTTAGATGGTTCCTAATGCTTTGGTCTTTTTAGGATTCGTGCATGTGGTAACAAATACCACCATTAACATCATTTCAAAAGGATGACTATAGATATGTACAATTTAAAATTATTTCTTTTGGGAACGCATCTATTTTTCCATTCTTCCCATTCTGTTTCTTCTGGAAATTATATGTGTTCTTTAAGGTTATGCAGGCTCTGACAAGCTGAGCTTTGCCAGCCTATCCAGTGGAAAAGTCAGCATCTTACATAGAGCCAAAGCAGAGGGGAAAAAAATCCAATTTTTATGTCATTGTTTTAGGAAATTGAAAGCTTAGTGAGGAGTATGTTTGCAGATATATGTAAACCTGTAATTCTTGCTTGTTGGTGGGTTTTTATGGTGTTACCTTTTGTAGGAACAATATAAGCCATGGTTAAAAACGTTTCTTCCTCACTCACAGGAGTGGGTAGTCTATTCTTGATGCTGAGGTCAAGATAAACTTTCCATTCCTTGTTAATATTTCTAGTACCTGTCTGATATTTCTACATGTAAATGAGTTACTTATTTAGCCTTTGCATTTTACCCTCGGCAGTGCTATGTGCTAGACTATATTTGTCTCTGGTTTCATTTGTCTTCCTTTTTTCTGAGTCTTTTGATGTGTTTGGTGTACCCAATCTAGCTTCTAGTGTTCCGGTGAAACTACCTGCCACCTATTTCCTGCTTTAGCCTTTTGCCTGTCTCCTGAACAATATTTCTTTCTCTTTTGGAACTTACTTAAAAATGATTTGATAAATTGAGTAATCCTAATGTACGAGGGGGGACCCAGAAAAATCTGGAATTTATGTATTAAACAATTGCATATTTATTCTTACATGTTTAAGCTGCAGTCACCTTCAAAGTACTCTGTTTGATGCAATACACCTATTGAGATCCTTTTTCCACTGCTCAGAATGGTTTTTGAACTCATCAGTTTTGATGTCTTTTAGTGCTTCTGCCGTTTTTTGTTTCACCTCTTCCACATCGGCAAAATGTTTTCCTTTGAAGGCTTTTTTCATCTGTGGAACCAAAAAATAAATCGCTTGGGGTGAGATCAGGTGAATAGGGATAATGGGGCATGGGGGTCATGCCAGTTTTGGTCAAAAACTATTGAATACTCTGCTGTGTAGACAGGTGTGTGTCACAGTGGAAGGACCAATCACCTGTTGTCCACAACTCAGATTGTTGCTTCCTCAAATTGTGATGCAAATTTAAATCAAAGTTTTTTCTGGATGTTTTGAGAAGATTGCAGGTGACAGAAGTTTAAACATGTAAGAGTAAAGACACATTTCTTAATAAATAAAATCTGTTTTATTTTGTGTCTCTCTTCATATTATTAATGCTGCTACTGATAGCAGAGAGTTTTGGTATTTAAATTGATAATTACAGGAGCCATTAACTGATACTATTGTGGTGAGAGTTAATCATTTTATTTTGAGAGTCAATTTCATGCTTTATCTAGATTCTTACTGGGAGGGAAATAGATGTCTTCTTAAAGGAAGTAGTCTCCTAAAACTGTAAGGTTCTTCTTGCAGAAAATTATTTCCCTTGAAACTGAGGCCACTGGAAGTATGTTTACATTGTTTGCTTGGTAGTTCCAAATCAGGTATTTTCATGGATGGTCAGCTTGTCTCAGAAAGAGAGCCTGAAGCTGAGTCTTTTACTTGGGGAGTGCTTAAATGCTGCACAAATCAATGACCAGAATTGTTTCATTTTGTGCCCATGTGGTTTTTGTGGGTGGTTTGTTGTTTTAAAAACTGTTTCAAAGGAGTACATTTTTTTTTTCCTGGCAATCCATGTGTATCCTGTATAAGTATTTTTCATTATTAATAATTTTGAGAAGAACCAACTCCAGGTCATAATGCATTGGCCAAAGTCATGGAGTTTTATTCAGAGTCATCCCATATGATTTTGTGTCTGCTTTGCCAAAATTTACTAATCTTAGCTTCCCAAAAGACATGGTCATGGTTTCCTCTCCTGTTTCTCACTGTCACCAACCTGTTCTTTGGAAATTATTTTTATCCATTTTGTATAAATCAATTGTGTTTAAGATAAATTCGTGAGACTTTTTGATTTAATTTCTTATAGGCCTATATACTGGTTTCGTAGGGGCTTATATGCCCCTCCCCACTCTGTGTAGAAATTCTCATTTCTGTTTGTGACTTAAATTCCAGCTTTTTCATTGTGCTTTTGATTTCCATATTCTTCCTCATTTAGGCTTAGTGGTTAGAAATCTTGTCTTTAATTGAAATTCAAAGTGGTTTAGTTTCAGTCATTTTCTGTTCCCCTATCCAACAGAGAGGTTTTACATCTGTAGATACACTGCAACCTTTTAATAATGAATTTGGATTTTAAGAGAAATTGAATTAAATTCTTGAGTTATTTCAGAAGTTGTAATATCATGCTATTTACATTTCTGGCCACAGTGAAAGTTTTCATGAAAGTGAAGTTTTGTAGGAAAAAGCTTCATGTGTCATCAGCATAGTCTTGGAAGGGATCTTTAGGAGTTGGCCAACCCAGAATTACAACTTTAAATAGCCTATATAAATCTTCTAGTTAACAAGTGAATGTTATTTTTCATTAGGAATTAACTAGGAAAGTCTTTAAGAGATCACTTCTCCTAACTTCCTAATTTAACAAAGGAGGAAGATGAACCCTACATAGATTAGGTGACCATCTTCAAAATACTGTAATTTAGTGGAAGAGTTAGGACCAGAGCCCAGTACCCTGACTCCAAGTTCAGTGCTCTTTCCACTACCTTGGGATCCCTTATAATTCTATTCCTAACAAAATAAAGAGTTTAAAGTATGTAACATAATAGATTTGCTCTGAAAATACCCGAATACATTGTGTTTTTGCAATTTAAATTTGAGTGATGAGAAAAAGCTTACCAATTTATACTACATTTTCCCCCTTGACCTGTAAAACAGTACTGATAGTCTCTGAGGTTATCATTTGGTTATTTGAGGAAGGATATTGTGTGTCTTTTATTTTGTTCAAGTCTATTCATTGTATTAAGTAATTTTTAAAAGTTCTTGAACTAGGAAAACATGCAAACAGGAACCTCCTGTGTTGGGCACTGTTGATTGCCTATTTAACATTACTCCTTTCCCTGCTACTTTTCTAACATGTCCTCTGTTTTTTTCTTAGGCGTTTAACCCTCTTTACGTGACTCAGAGAAAGGGGACCTCATTCCAAGTTCCAGTATTGTTCTGGTAAGTCTAAACGAAGCATGGTAATTCCCTTTCTTTACTGGTAACAGGTTCAAGGATGGGTAGATCACAAACTCAAAATATTTCTGTCATCTTGGCTTTCAACTTGTGGATGAAGCTGCCAGATCCAAAGAATTTAGAATTCCTGAAGCTTTGACTTGCAGTGCTTAGAGACTGCTCTACCTGAGGACTTCTTGTATGAGATACTGCTTATATATTTCTTTATTGGTTAATCCAGTTTGATTTTGGAATTTTCTGTTACTTCCAGATGAAAGTATTCTGTCTGATGCATCTCCTAATACTTTATTCTGTGAATGAAGATTTATTAAGGGTTAGGTTTTGGCAATTAAATGGATGTGAATTCAAGAAAGAGAGAAGACTCTCAACAGAGTTGAAATTAGAAGAATCTCTTAAGAGATTTTTAACTGGGAGAATCATATAATCATGGCTCATAAGGCATCATAAAGCAACTGTGATTTACCTTTTATCTTTGCAGCTCCAATGAGCTTCTCATTTCTTTTACCAGTGACGACCTAAATCCAATGGATTCTATTCATTTCTCATCTTCTTTGATCTCTATTACATTAGTCCTATCTCTATCATTCTTTATATCTGATTATTCCTTTTAAAATCTTTTACTGACTTATCATCCTCTACCTATCCCTTGAATATTAATGGATTTTTGTGATTTTATTCTTACCTTAATTTTTAGAAATTAAACTTTGTTATTTATAACAGTTTTATATTTACAGAAAATTGTGACGATAATAGAGAGTTCTTATGAACCCCATATCTATTATTAACATCTTACATAATATAGTATGGTACATTTTGTTAAATGAATGAACCAATATTTATACATATTAACTAAATTCTGTATTTATTCACATTTCCTTAGTTTTTTTGTCTAATGTCTTTTTTCTGTTCCAGGTTCCCATCTAGGACACCATATTACATTTAGTGATCATGTCTCATTTGCTTGCTCTTGGTTGTGATAGTTTCTTAAACTTTACTTGTTTTTGATGACTCTGACAGTTTAAAGGAGTGCAGCTCAGGCAGTTTGCAGATTGTCTATCAGTTGTGATGGATACAGTGTTTTTCTCATGATTAGACTGGGGATACGGGTTTTTGGGAAAAAGTGCATAGAGATAAAGTGTCATTTTTATCACATAGAAAGGGTGCCTACTATTAACTTAATTTTATTAAGCTGTGACTTATTGTTGATATTTAGTTTGGTCATTTGGGTAGGTGTTTTTTGTCAGATTTCTCTGCTGAAAAGTTACTCTTCCTTTCCTTTCCATATTGTACATTTTGGAAGGAAGTAGCTGTGAGTGACACTTGAGAAATAGGGAGTTATTGTCTTCCTCCTTGAGGAGAAGTAGCAGCATAGATTCTTTGGAATTCTTCTGCGTGGAAAATGTGTCTATTTGTCCCCATTTATTTATTTAATAATTTTTATTACAGATATTTTTCTTCTGCTTTGCCTGACCAGATTTTAATTGTTGATGTATATTGATAAATTTTAAATATATTTTATCCTAGCAATTATTTTTACCTTTTTCTGGAACTCTTCCTCTTTATAGTCAACTTTCCATTAGACCTTTTCCTTTTGGTCCTTCTGTTTTTTTTTTTTTTCTTTTTGAGTTGGAGTCTCACTCTGTCGCCCAGACTGGGAGTGCAGTGGCCGCTCACGGCCACCGCAGCCTCGACCTGCTGGGCTCCGGCGATTCTTCTGCCTCAGCCTTCCCAGTAGCCGGAATTACAGGCATGCGCTACCACGCCTGGCTGATTTTTTTTTAGATTTATTGTAGAGATAAGGTCTCGCTGCCCAGGCGGGTTTCGAACCCGCGGGCGCAATCCACTCACCTCAGCCTCCCAAAGGCACAGGATTACAGGCTGAGCCACTGAGCCCGGCTTTTTGGTCTTTCTTTTATTGAAACCTTGAACTCAATGTGTCCATATTGCCTGAGACCAAGTTCATCATTCTATACCTCATTTCCTTCATTTTATGCCTCTTTTCACTAAACTTGATTTTCTATACATTTACTCAAGCTAGAAACCAATAGAATTTTTTAGTCACCCTTTCCCTTATTTTCATTCCCTCATTACCTCTTACTTGGATTATTATGTTTGGCTATTGTATTGCTATTCCTAAAGCAAGTGTAGTCCAGTTTCATACCATCAATCACATTGCCTCATAGCTATTTTTCTAGAGTGCTATTTATTCAGAATATCTCTTATTTTCCTTTTCAGAATCCTTCAATGAATTCTGTCTCTGCCACTATTTTTAACTGTGATTTTAGGTACATTACTTGGTTTCTTTCTAGCCTGAGTTTCCTTATTGCAAAAGAGGAGATGGTGACAGGGATCTTCTAAGGATTAAAAGTGTCTAAGGAGTTTAGGTATTTGTCTGGAACAAAGTAGTACACTCTAAAAAACAGTTCTTTTTATTATTCTGTGCCTCCTTCTAGACTCCTTAGCATGACCCTTTATAAACTACCTATCTAGTAGTTTCATTTGTGAATATTCTTCTGTCATAAACACCTTATTGTCCATCAATGCAACATTACATATATCTATGCATATGATACAGTGACAACAAAGAAAACTAGTAATTTACTCTGCATGGGTGAAGATATCTAAGTTGAATATTGAGAGATAAGTAAAGGCCAGTTTTCTTGCTACTTAACTGTCGTCCTTGTGAGTCAAAGCTTTTTATTATGTTAGCTAACTGTTCTATCATAACATATTTGAAAATACCTATTCTTTATCTTTGTTAATTTTTTATGAAGACTGAACTTTTCATTATCTGTTTCATTCTTCTCCAAAATGTATCTATAACCACATATATTACTTTAACATTGCATAGTGGTAGTGAGAGTGAGGATGAAATAGTGGAATGAAAAGATGGATGTCTCAATGTATTTTATGAACATATCCATTTCATTTCCTGAATGACCATTTGTGTATAAGGATCTATGTCTCTGCATAAATGAGTAAACTTTGTTAATCCATAATGTCTCTTTCTCCAAATATTCTGCGTAAGCGAGTTGTGAGGCACATATTCTTGCTTATTGACTTTTGATAGTATTAAAAGCTTGGATCCATTATGGTAGTGAGGGCTGTATGGTTTGAATTCTGTATAGAAGTGAATGGATATAATGTTAACTCATAGTGGTATTCATTATAAGGGGCAAAACTAAGGACTAGATTTTGATGCTTCTGAAATGGTATTGTTGCAGCAAGACAGCAACTTCATGTTAAACTTGAAGTCACCTGAATTGGTGTCTATAAAGAAGCATGAAGCTAATTTGTATAAAGAATTGAATACTGTTACTAAACTGTAGTAATTGATTTCATTTTCTTTTTAAGAAATTGTACCATTGTTTATTTAATTTATACTTTTCAAGATAGATTAGGTTTTCCATTGTAACTCTTAGAGTACCAAGGTGAGCTTTTTGTGTTTGAGTATTTAATTTAGATGTGAACTATTGTATATTATGGGTAGGACACTATGCTAGAGGCTCTAAAAATTTCTAAGAAATAGTGCTTTGTGGTGAATTTCTTTGCTTTACTCTTAACAGAATTTTAACAATGCTTTTCTGTGTTGTAATTTTTGGTTTTGTACATGTGGGTTGTGAGAAATAAACGGAATCCTGTCTGTGGGTTGGAATTTGGTATGGCTTCAGAAGGCAAACAAAATATTTTGGCATGTACATGTTAGATAATTTTTTAAATGGACTTTACATAGGCTCAAAATGTCTGAGGCCAAATAATATAAGGTGATTTTATAGTTGCAGAGAGACTCTTGTTGACTTACATTTGGTTTCTTAATTTGTGGCGGGAAATCAATAGCTGATTAAGCAAACAACTAAAGACATATCTTTGCACATTTTTAGTACAGCTTGTTCCTGTTCGCTTGTGACAAGTTGTTTGGGGAAGAGTTCTGAGATGGTATGCCAAGACTTGATTTCCTAAAAGTCTGGTGGGTTTTTGTCATATTTTTTAAAATGACAGGTGTATTTCAAGATTGAGAGTTTTCTGTCTTTCTTTTTTTAAGGACTTTCCCAAGAGTATTTGAAACGAATAATTTTAGATTTTTAACAGTACTTACATGAAGATGTGCATGTTTTTCCCCCTCTTTTCTTCTAATTTATTAGAGAATTTGGGGAAAGGAATACTGTACTATTACAGTGGCCAAAGTTAGAAACATCTAGGTGATTTATTGTCTTTCAACTTGCATTATTCTTATTTATATGAGTGGCTGGAGATATCACATGCAATTTGAGGTTTACATCTGGTTTTATGTTAAGTGAATGTGATCCAGGCTCAGCTATCTTCAATGGTGATTTTACCAGCTGTAAATTAGGAACTTGGCATTGAACACCATGTGGTTTTGTGTAAGTAGAATTCAGATTGTGATGTTTTCTGTCACTTCATAATTCTAATTTTAGAGTTTCAGTTTTTAAAGTAGGATAATTCACTCCAGAAGAGTCTAAAATCTGTGATTTTCCATGTACTGCCAGGTATATTGATGGTCAGTGGCTTGAATCAAACAGAATATCTTTCATTAAAAATACGGTGGATCATTTTATCCTATAGAATTGTGACTATTAACTTTCTGTCTTTTATTTATGCAACTACAGGAGATACTTTATTTACACTTGAAAATTTCTTGGAAACACAAATACAGTGATATTTGTGAACTTTTCCTGCAGTGGTAATAAAAAGTGAAGAGCTGTGGATAAGCTCAGAGCTCAAGCCACTTACTGCTCTTTTCCCTTACTTTAAATATTTTTTCACTTTTCTAATTACTGGTCAGAATTGCATGGGGTTTTACTTTAAATATTCCAGGTACCCCGAAGTCTTTTCCTGTAGCCATTACTTATTTTTTTGTATATATTAGATTGTCTACTAGATTATAAATGCCTTGAGGATAGGGGTTACTATGAATTCTCTTTTGTACTATATTATACTTAGCTTCTCACATAATAACTTACGCA